GTGCAGATGCTGCAGCGTGGGTGAGGTTTGGAGTGGATAATTCACAGGTCACGTTGAGATGAAACCTCAGCTGTGGCTGTTGAGAAACATCTTCACTCTCCTGGAGATCCCTGGGAGGAACTCTGCAATCAGGGGAGGAAGGAGGGTTCTGTGGAAGGGTCCTGGCTGCTCCTGTTTCTGCAAACATTCTGTAGCTGATGGAGCCGTGCCAGGACCTGCAGCCTGCCAGGAGGGACCAGCTCCCATCCCCAAGTGTTTCCTTCTTTGTATCCCAAAGATGTGGGCACTCTGCAAGTGTTTTGCCAGCTGAAGTGAAAGGGATGGAAGGGGATGGAAGCAGCCTTTATAAGCAGCAGCAGCAGCAGCATCCAAGGACCAGCCCTGAGTCCCTGCTGGGAGCTGGGGCTGGGGAGAGGCTGCGAGTGTGGAACTCATCAGTGAGAGTCAGGGTGGGGACAGGCAGGCTGGGACGCTCTGCTGTCCCAGAGGCTGGGTGGGAGGATGAAGGCAGGATGTGGATGATCCTTTTTGTTTTAAAACAAAGGGAAATGCCACTGACTTCACCCGAGAGGGATAATCCTGGAGCCTTGGGCTTTTCTTAACAAAAGGTATTTTATTTTTCTTGTAAATTTTTTTTTTGTCTGTTTGTCTGCTGAGATCAGAGGGGTTGTTTGCAGCAGAGGTGTGGCTGAGAGAGGATTTGAGCTAGGGGAGAAACTGGATGAAGAATTGGTGGGAATTGCTGGGCTTGAGGCTGGACTTGGTGGGTGGAACTCATGGTTGGAACATAACAGGTCAGGCTGGGTGGCTTGCAATGATACTCTTGGACCTTGGCACTTATGGAACAATTGAGATAATGACTTTATTTAATATTTTTGTGGGAAATGATCCCATGGATGTCACCTGAGAGCTGTCAATTGTCAGGTGTTGTACAGGAGGAATTTTGGGTGAAGTGAGGAAGTTGAGAATGCCTGGAAGGGGCTCAGAGCTGATGGAGCAGGGAGCTGCTGCTGACCCACATCTGATCCCTTTTAGGTTTGCAGTTTCCCTTCTCCAGGTGGTCTCATTTGTGCCTGATTCCCCCTTCATCCTCCCTTACTCCCCAGCAGCCCAAACTGTCAAACTTGTGGCAGCTTCCAGGCTTAGGACCACGTCATAAATCACAGGATCCCAGAATGGTTTGGGAGGGAAGGGACCTTAAAGCTCCTCTCATTCCACACCCTGCTCATTCCACACCCTGCCTTGGGCAGGGCCACCTTCCACTCCCCCAGGGTGTTTGGAGAGGCCCAGAAGGAATGTTTGTGTCAGAATGCTTCTCTTGCAGATGCCTTGAGGCCATGCAGAATTTATTTCATGACTCTGTGTGGTTTTGTTTGTGTTTTTGTGTTCAACAGGAGGGAAACCCTTGAGATCAGCACTGGGAGGAAGAGGAGGGGTGGAGAAGGAGTCGGTGTGGGATGTGGGACAGGTCTGAGCCCAGGAGCTGAGGGACAGCAGGTAAAGCACAAAGGAGCTCTGCAGTGTCAGGCTGCCCCATGCCTGGGGTTAAGCTGCTTCTTCCCTTGCTGGATTTTAACATAATTCACCAAAACATCTCACACCCTTCCAACAACCCTCTCCTCCTCCCCATAGTCCAGTTGGAATAATGTTGAGATGAGAAAAGCTTGTAAAAATAGGGCAGCACCAGCACAGTGTCACCCCCAGAGCTTTAATCAAGCTCCTTACATATTTTTTGGCCATCAGCTCTTTCATTTAATCATCCATTAATTGCTGAAAGTTTTAGCCAAATTCATTTGGCAGAAGTTGCAGGAGAAGAAGCAGCATTTCACAATATTCTGGTTTCAGCACTTTTCAACTCTGATTTTAAAAGCAGTGTTGAATGTCACTGATGGTCTGAGCTCAGTGTCTGGGTGCCTCAGGATCCAAATCCCTGCACACGGCTCAGGGGGAAGTTGGGCTCTGAACATTTTTCTTCTTTAGCATCATTCTCTGGGCAGATTCTTGTCCCCAAACTCTTTGTAATCAAGGTGTGAGGATTAATCCTTGGGTGCTGATCACAGCTCTGGGGTGGGGGTGTGTGGTTCTCTGGGAGCTTTCCAATCTCACTGCAGAGGCTGGAGTTGCTGCCAGCAGCACATTTCTCCTTCCCCAGTTTCCTTCTCACTCCTGTGAGAGCCAGGGGATGAGATGAGATTCTGTGCCCTGTGCTGAGCTCCTTCAGGCAAACTCGGGCTCTGGACTCTTGTCAGACACACTGATGAGTTTGGGCTCCAGCAAAGGTGTCTGGAGTGAACAGAGGAGCCAGGGAGTGGCATTTGCTGGCACAGGGACACGAGGACAGCACGGGGCAGTGGCATCCTGCACAAAGCTGCTCTGCCAGCCCAATCCAGCACATGGATTGTGCCTGGGAGCCACCAGAGTTCCCCCAGTCAGAATCTGGCTGCTGAATCTGGTTCAGGAGAGCTTGGATGAGCTGTGCTGGGCTGTGGTTCAGCACAGAGCACACGAGGTGCTCTCAGGGTCCCTTGTGGCCATGAGCTCTGCTCCTCTGTGAAGGGATCACAGCTGCAGCTCCAAGGACAGACTGACAGACACATGGCCAGTCCCAGCCCCTGCTGTGACTCCCTGTCAGAGGATTTCTCCAGGAGCTCTGTGTCCTTGGGAGCCGTGCTTGGAGCATCTGCTCTGGATATTCTTGGGGCTGAACTGCTTCCAGCAGGCTTAGCAAGTGTGCCTGTGATTTCCTGCAGGAAATCCAGCCATGCAGGGCGGTGTTCAGCTGATGGGACTGTGACTATCAAACCATCATGGCATTCCTAAGTTGCCTTTTTTCATTACTTTTTTAAAAACCTGGTAGCTGTCTCCCCACCCCCAACCCCATATCTGTGCATCTATGGAGTTTTTTTCCCCCTGCCTTGTTCAAGTGAAAGAGTAAATCCTTTTTGATTTATTCCAGAGCAGCCCTCGAGCTCAGCTCCTGTGAGAGCCTGCTGACTTGGAGTTCAAAAGATCTCACAGCTTTGAGGCCAGGCTCTGGTCTTCCATCTTGCCTCAGAGTTAAACTGAAAGAGAAAATTCCTTTTCTTCTTGAAAAGAAAAATCACCATGCTGTGTAAGGGAATCAGACTTACCTGGAGCAGCAGAGAATGCCAACATGCAGAATTCCAGGTTAAAAATCTGGTTGTTTAGCAAGGCTTTATTTTCAAGCACTGAGCACGTTGTTTAGGAAGTGTTTTATGGAGATAAATAGTCCTTTAAAAGCAGAGCTGCTGCCTGGCTGGGAGCCAGCCTGTGATCCTACATTAAAGCATTTTTTGGGTGTTTAAACCACTGCATTACCACGGTGGCTAGAAATGGAAGTTCTTATCCCTGGTTTCCTGCAGATCTGCAGGGCTAGATGACATTTTAGGAAGAAATTCTTTACTCTGAGAGTGGTGGTGAGGTGAATAGAGTTCCCAGGGAAGCTGTGGCTGCCTCTGGATTTCTGGAAGTGTCCAAGGCCAGGCTGGGCAGGGTTTGGAGCAGCCTGGGACAGTGGAAGGTGTCTCTGCCCATGGCAGGGGGGAATGGGATGAGCTTTAAATTCCTTTCCAGCCCAAATCATTCCATGATTCAATGAGGTGCAGACATATCTGGCATATCTATATATGTGTTTATATGATTTATATGCACATATAGAACAAAACAAACCTATAAGAACTATTTATATCCTATTCCACTTCCACAGCACCCTGCTTAGTCCAGATTTATGCAGTTGTGGCTGCAGCTGTGAGCTTGGAAATGCAGAGATAATGGATGGAAGACTTTTAATAACTGTAGGGACCCTCCTTTTAAAATCCAGCTGCTCTGAGCAAGGTGACCTTGGCTCTGACTTGGGAATCCAGCCCTGCAGGGGAAGGAGATGCTGATCCATGGAGCAAAATCTTGGCCAGACAGAAGGGAAAGCACAGGTTGGGCTGGTGGAGTTTTCAGCACTCTTGAAGTTGTCGGGCTGTTGAAACTATGGGTGCTCTCCCAAATTTGAATTTACACCTGGCAGTGCTGTATCTCAAATTTGAATTTACACCTGGCAGTGGTGTATCTCTGTTTTTCAAAAAGCTCCAGTCCTGCTATGGAAAGAACCAGCTTTTTTGACAGCAGCACATAAGTGACAGCTCAGGTAACCCTCAGAGATGTGAGGAAAATCTCACATGGTGTTTTCTCAGCAGAACTCCTCCAGAAATCCTTTCTTATAAAGTTTTTGGGCCTGTGGAGAGAGTCCATGGAAACACCTTGGTGTTTTACCCCCTTTTCAGGAAAAAATGTTTAAAATTAAAAAATAAATGTTGAAAGAAAGCTGAAACTGCAGTGGTTCTCTGGGATGTGTGGGTACAGTAAAGGCACAGAGCTCAGGTGACAGTAAAGGACAGGGAACAGAGCGGCTCTTCCTGCTCTTCCTTCAGCAGAGAAAAACCCCAAATCCTGACCTTCTCCCATGTTCTGAGCCAGCAGTAAAATAGGAATATTTTGGTTTTTTTCCTCCCAAATCTAATTTGAAACATGATGACTGGACCCTTCTTAAACAGCTTCCAACTTAACAATAAAGAAACTTCACAGAGTGCTTGGCAGGAGCCTCTGTACATAATTTAGATCATAATCAGATGCATTAACACATTTTATATGGATCTCATGGGGGCCAGGAAGATGAGGTGTGCTGGGTAATTTCTTCCCAGATTTCTTTACCTGATTGTTTATTACTCTTGGGGACTTCATTTGTGGTCCAAATGTCACCAGCAGCATCCTGCTGCTTCATGTGCCTGCATTCAAATTCCGTAATTGCTGCGTTCTCCTCCGTCTTTCCATCCAAAGGGAGGATGGGGAACAAAAGCAAGGACCCAAAATCTGCAAACTGCTCTGCCTGGAGCTCCATGGAGGGAAGGAGCTGGGAGTGCTCCTTGTTTCCCACTGAGTACAATCAGAATCTGCTGCTGGGGAGCTGCGTGGGGGAAACACTTCCTCTCCCTCCCTTTCCCTTTGAGATGTTCAACAGCAGCAGCTTTAATTTTATAAATCTCCTGAAAGCTTTTCCACGCTCAGAAAGGAGAAACGGTCGCGCGTCTCTCGCTTTGCTTGATTGTTTTGCCACGAATCCACCTTGTGAAATGTCTCCTTTGACAGGAAGATCTGTTGCTGCTTTGAAAAGTGGTATTTTGGATGTCTTTCTGCTCTGCTGGTTTGTGTTGTCCCCACAAAAGGCAGCCAGGGAAGTTCCCTGTCACTTCAGCATCTCCTGGAGTAAAAAGCCTCCCCAGGCTGTGGGATTTATTTGTTACTGAATGCCATGGAGAGGTGTAAAAGTGGATGTTTTAATCCAGGTTTTGCTCCCAGATGGGAGCACAGCTCAGGTTTGGGACGTGAGGGGCTGCTCTGTTCACTCACAGCCAGAGGTGGCCTCAGGCACTGCCATTGATCCACAAGTTGGCACAGCCAGGAGTGAAACCTCCAAGGCAGGTCAGACCTGGCCTGGGTGTTTGGGCAGGTGAGAAAGCTCAAGAACATGACAATGACTGACTTACACCCTGGATTTGGGCCAGAGAGCAGGCCCAAAACGGGACCACAGCAGCCCAAAACAAAACCACAGAGCTCCTTCTTCCCCTTTTATCAGTGCCTGATAATGGTACTGAAAACCACGCCAGGCCAGGGGAGAATCATGGATTTGTTTGCCTCTTTTTTATCTTTTCCCTTCAATAATTGTTTATCAACATCAGGTGATGATGCAACAGCGTCCCAGATTAGCTGCGCTCATAAAGTGACTTTTACCACAGAGCACAATGATGATGGTAGAGAAGTGAATATCCTTAAAAATCAGAGTTGATGGGGTTGCTGAATTTCAATTTTGTGTTCTCAGTGAATCCCTGTGACTCACCCTGTGCCTCCAGTGCCTTGTGCTGTTGAAATGTCCACAGGGAGAGGGTGAAGAGCTGAGAGTTTGGGGCCTCTCCCACAAACTCCTGCCTTTCCCTGGTTTTCCAGCTAAGTGCTGAGGAATGGTGCTACTTGCAGGATATTCCCCCTCAAGATAGAAAAGTTAAGGTTGTTTTGCTCCCCTGAACAAACCCTTTAACCTCCATCTCATGATTCAAAATTGGCAGGAGAGTCTCAGAGCAGCTTGATGCAGGCTCTGAAGGGTTTGTGTGAGCAGGGCAGGCAGGAGTGCATGAGAGGGAGAAAATATCCTCACTCCCTTTGTGTTTATAGCCATGTCACAAGCATTTCCTTGCTCCCACTTGGGATTGATGAATTCTCCTTAGGTCAGTGGCACACACAGTTTGGACAAGCTCGATGGCTTGTGGGTCCAGCCAGCAGAACTGCTGCTGAGCAGGAGCAATGAGGAATTCAGGATGTCTTTAACAAGGGAATTCACTCTGCTACTTTAAACTGACAGGGGGCAGAATTAGGTTGGATTTTTAGGAAGAAATTCCTTACTCAGAAGGTGGTGAGGCGCTGGCACAGGGTGC